CTTGCTTTCACTAACTGTGATGCGTTTGGGTCTAAAACGGCAGGGCTTGGGGCAGAGACACAAAAGAGCCTCTCACTACACAGCCTCTGCAAGTGTGGTGTGCACATACGTGTGCGTGTCTGTGGGCACACGCACTCCATGTCAGAGCTATGGAGGTGGCTGGTCTTACGTGGCTCCATGTCAGTGTCACGTGGTGAGGGCCGGTGTGCGGTTTCAGTGTGGTGAAGGATGGGGGAAGGGGACAAAGGGACCATTGTGCCAGGCTCCCAGCTCAAACCGCCTTTCCGCTGACATCACAGCTGCCCTAAATACAGCTGCCAGGCTCTGTCCCAGGGATCCTCACTGTCCCTGTGTGGTGGCACAGTGCCTGCAGCTCCAGGGTCTGCTCTGCGTGGGGGACTCGCCTTTGTCTCCTCTGTGGGAAGAGGACAAGGCTCAGACAGGAGGCCATGTCTGGATTTTTACTCTTGCTGCTTGGTTGGAACCCTGGGTCCCTTCCAGGGCCTGGACTCACCCGTCTCCTGGCAGGACTTTCTATGGCTGCAATATGGTGGGTTTTTGCCTCCTTTTCTTTCAGCTTCTTGACCTCTGCTTCCCAGGCGCCTCCACAATCTCCCTCCACAGGGAGAGCTGGGCAAAGTGGAGGGGAGAGGCGGAGAGGGCAACCGGGTGGGCTAGGGGCTGCAGATGGGACTTCCACGTCGGGGAGGCTGAGGATGGTAAGGGAAGGAGGCAGGTTGCTGAGTGTCCCCGTGTGCATCCCTCGGGGGGCTGTTGGGAACTCTGTACATATAGGGGCCCCTGCATGCGTGCAGGTGTGTCCACCGGGGCCAGGGTCTGCACACAGCGAAGGCAGGAGCCTCACTTGGGGGTGGCAGAGGAGACGCCCTGGAAACCAGGAGACAAGATGGGTGATGCGACACACACGTCTCCCTGAAGGCAGGGGACAGGTGCAGGCTGCAAGGAATGTGGAGCAAGCAGGAAAGGCTGGTGTGGGAAGGCACTGCCACCCCGAAGCCCTGGTGCTGGTGAGAGGATGTGTCCCCATGTCCCCTCCTGGGTGTGGCACAGAAGGCAGCAGGTTGGACTGGGGACATGTGCCACTGGGCCGGACCAGGCTGGGAGGGGGGGCAGCTGGGTAGCTGAGGTGCAGACATAGTGAGATTCTCCAGGAGAGTGAGGAAGGCGGGCTGCTGAGGGAGGGCAGAGTAGCTAATGAGAGCCATGGTGGGCACCAAGAAGAGTTTAGAGCAGGGAGGCCGCAGGCGCAAGCCCTAGGGGACTCGGCACTGTGAGCCCAGAGCTTCGTGGGTGCGCGCAGGAGCCCAGATGGGCAGGTGTTCTGCAGAAAGTGAGGAAAGAGCTGAGTCTCGTATTAAGACAACTTGGAGCATAGACAAAAGAAGAACTATGGAATTAGCATAAAAACAGAACGGGTACTACGTGTGACTTCATTTTCTAGCAGGCGTGTTTTAAAAAAGAAATAAACAAGTAAAACTCATTTTAGTCATGTCTTTAATTTAACCTGACATAACCCCGAGTACCACCGTGTCCTTACACTTCAGGCCCCTTGCCACTTAGCCTGGTTACAATGCAAGTCTTTATTGGCCACAAGTGGCTGCTGGGCCAGGCAGGAGCTCCAGGTAGAGCAAATGCCTGCACCCTAAACTCTCAGGGACAAATGGAACTTTTAACCAGCCCCCTTTAGTCTGAATGCAATGGGAAGGGAGACCCCTCAGAACTTCTGGCCTTGGGGAGACCTCCCAAGAGGTTGTGTGTAATAATGTCATCATACCCCGATCTGCCAGCACCCTGGTCCTCAGGAAGAATTCTCACGGCTCGAGGTGGGGCAATGCAGTCGGCAAGTTCCTTGTGCTGCCCGTAGCTGAGGGCTGCTATGAGCGGCGCCCTGATACCATCTGCTGCCCCAAGGTGCAGCACACATGTGCTGAGCCAGGCCACACTAGGGGTGGTGCTTATGGTGAAGCTGGGGGCCACATTCAGGACAACATGGGTCAGGCTCTCAGGTCACTAGAGGAGATGGGGTGCAGCAGAGTAGAGGGCTGAGTCTTGGGGTGGGTGTGGGGCTACTTGCCATTCTTTGTCAGTGATTGTGGGGGTGACTGCTGGGTGGAATCTTCCCCTTGGCTCTGGTGCTCGTGAGACTGTCCCTGTGTCTCCTCCTGGGGGTGCAGCAACCACTTGCAAGTGTGCACGCTGAACATGGGCAGGGTGAGGAGAGGTCGGGCCCCTCCACACTGGATGCTGGGGGCGGGATGTGCGGGCCATGCTGGGGCTGGTGGCAGTTTGGTTCCTGTGGAGGGGTCACTGCCCAGTGTCCCAAAGGCCACTGAGAGTGCCTCCACTCCCCCACACATGGGCCACTGGCAGCCGGGCAATCGTGTGCGCCCAGGCACGGCTCCACCTCTTCCAGTCACGCCACCTTCCTGGCTACTAGTCTGGGCCACTTCCTCTCGGTAGCGGCGGCGGCGGGCAGCCAGGCTCCTGTGAGTGCGCAGTCCAGCAGGGGTGGAGGAGTGGCCTGAGCCCCAAGGCCAGGGTGGGAGCAGAGGGGAGGAGGAGGGACTCACAGGCGTCACACTCCACCTGCCTGAGGTTGGCTCTTGGTGGGGGACAAGGTCTCACGGCACAGGGCCGAGGAGGAGCTGGTCCAGGCAGCCCCAGCCCCCAAGCGGGGCAGATTCTGTGCGACGTCTGTGCTGCCACTCAAATGGTGGCTGATGGGGTGTGGGGGGGGGTGTAGGGGGTGAAAGGGAGGTCACACGCCAAGAGCAGGTTCAGTTCAGGGCTGGATGCCCAGAGCCACGCCTCCGTCAAGTAGTCACCAGGCACAGACACGGGGCCTGCAGTGGGCTTCTGCAGACCTCAGGGACTGCTTAGGGACTCAGTGTACGCACTAAGTAGTTGATGGGCTTGGGGTGCCCAGCGAGGGTTGGGTAAAGTGGTGCGGGCTTTAGTAACAGCCTTGCTCAGCACTTCACCCAGAACTGTGAGATGCCAGGCATGGTGGCGCTGGCCTGCAATCCCAGCACTGACAAGACTGAAGAAGAAGGATCCCTGAGCTCAAGGCCGACCTGGACACAAAGCGAAACTCTGTCTCAAAAAACAATTAACTAGGGGCTGGGGAGATGGCTCAGTAGAATAAGCACTTTCCTGGCAAAGTGTAAGGGCCTAAATTCAATCCCCGGTTCCAGAAACAAACAAACAAACAAACAAACAAACTAAAGCACCTGCTTAGGTAGTCGCAGGGACCGGGGTTTGATCCCTGGCATGCTACAATGGCCCTGCCCCAGGGCACATTGAGACAGCAACTGAGATGGGGCGTGGTGGTGCGGGCCTGTAATCCCAGCTCTTGGGAGGCTGACAACAGGAGGAGCACTATGAGTCCCATCCGTGTAGTGAAACCCTGTAGTCCCTGTATTAGAATACATAAATTAAATAAAATGTATAAAAAACAATTTAAAAATTTAAAAAGTATAAACAAAAATAGAGCCAGGAAGATGGCT